CTTGCTACTTATTCTGCAACTCTCAAGAACACTAACTTTTAGAGACATTATGACAAACAAGAAAATGTTCAAGTTAAAAAATATATATATATTAAAGGAGCTGGTGAGAGGATTCAGTGGGTGAACACACTTGCTGCCAAGCCTGACAATGTGAGTTCAATTCCCGGAGCCCACATTGTAGAAGGTCTGACTTCTACATGCATGCTCTTGCATCCACCCCCACATAAATAAATGTTCAAAAGTTCAATGAATTAAAGAAAATTCTTACGTTTGAAAATAGATGTGCGGTATGATCCGTTTGCAAAAGGGGTAGCTTTTAAATGTAACGTGGTGCTACCACTGGGTGGTGAGATAACAAATATTTTTTATTTTTTTCTTTATACTGTTGTAATGTTTTGCAATATTCTAAACCTAACATATGACTCTTATGAATTAAGGATGAGTAATTTTTGAAAGCACAGGGGTTAGTAAGAGTTTATTTATGTATTGAAAGCTGTGTCCTCAAACTATAGGTGCAGAAACCACTAAAGTTCCAACACGCCATGCTTGTGCTCACAGAGGCCACTACTCTGCCGGACCTTTAACAGCATAATTGACCAGCATCCACTCTCCTGCTTTCTCAGCAGCACTCTTAATTTTGCTCTAAGGAAACCATCTTTCCTTTGCCCTGGGATTCAATTGTCTCCATAGTGTGGGTCTAATCCCGTTATCTCAATGTCTTTCTTGGGTAGAATAGGTTCAGGCATAGTCACATGACTCATCAAGACATAGAGAATCCAGGAAACCAAGGGCCATGTAGGTGTGACTGGAAGAGCCATATGGTCTAAATGTGGTGACGACCTGTCTCTCCAGAGTTGGTATAAGGAAGGAATCTTGAGATGGTGAAAATGGTATGTGCCTCTTCTCTCCTTAGAACAGTGGTTCTCAACCTTCCTAATGCTGTGACCCTTTAATACAGTTCCTCAAGTTGTGGTGACACCCAACCTTAAAATTATTTTTGTTGCTACTTCATAACTATAATTTTGCTACTGTTATGAAACGTAATATAAATATCTGTGTGGTTTTTTTTTGATGGTCCAAAGGGGTCGTGACCCACACATTGAGAACCACTGTCTTAGATGCTCTAGGTGCTGTTGATCAAAGTGGGGGGTGGGGCGTCTCAGAAATAGAGAGCAGAAACGTCTAACAAGTGTTGCCTGGTTCTTGTCTCCATCAGAGAGAGAATTTAGAGATGTCACAAAATAAGGAATTGGGGAGAAGATTGTGGCAGATGGAAGAGCGGCGGCCTCTGAGTTACACCCCAATTTTAGGTAGCTGAACTTTAAGGAAGGGGAGTTATTCACAGAGGATGGAGAGAAGGACTGACTTTCCCATGGAAGAGGCTTTCCTCCCCCATTCTGTCCTCATCTGGAGTGTTGAGGTTGAAGCAGACATTTCTACCAGACTAACGATGTGGAGATGCCGTCACAATGAAGCCAAGGGAAGTTAGCACAGGTGTGGGTTAGCCATGGTGTCCCAGCTGGTTTTTCACTGTTTGAGCAGTCACATAATGTCCTGTCCTGCTGTAACATAGCTCTATGATTGCATCAGCTTCTAGAAAGTTTGCCTCACTGTGCCCACCCCCCATCCTACCTGGCTTACCTTATTACTATAGAGATGACCTTTCTCTCTTGGGATGATTGCTGTCCCATCACAGTCTAAAGAAAGGTGACTGTGTGTCCATGTTTAATCTCTGTTGCTATGATAAGCACCATAAGCAAAAGCAACTTGGAGAGGAAAGGGTTTCTTTCAGCTTACAGGTTACAGACCTTCACTGAAGAGAGTCGGAGCAAGAGCTTAAAGCAGATACCACAAGGGAAAGCTGCCTTGGGGTTGTTGAAGCCGCATATTCAGCTACCTTTCTTATATAGCTTATGTCCCACCTGCCTAGGGATGGTGCTGCTCACAGTGGTCTAGATCTTCCGACATCAATTAGCAATTAAGAAAATGCCTCACCAGGTGGTGGTGGCACATGCCTTTACCCAGCACTCAGGAGGCAGAGGTAGGTGGATCTCTATGAGTTCAAGGCCAGCCTGGTCTACAGAGCGAGATCCATAACAGGCACCAAAACTACACAGAGAAACCCTGTCTCGAAGGAAAAAAAAAAAAAAGAAAGAAAGAAAGAAAAGAAAATGCCTCATAACCATAGTCACAGGCCAGTATGATAGTATGATTAAGGCAATTATTCAGTTGAGGCCCTTTCTTCCCAGATGACTCTAGGTTTATGTCAAATTCACAGCTGAAACTAAGTCCAACACCATGCTCCCCACAACAGTCTGAGTAGAGATTACCCCCCACCTCCTAAGAGACTCTAAGTAGGGGTGAGGATGAAACCAATCTCCCAAACCATCTAAGTGGGGGATGACCCCACTCTCCCAAGATGGTCTAAGTTTATGGGCACCCAAAGTCCACATAGAGCATGTCAACCAACTCCCAAAGATGAAGACAAGGGCCTTAAAACTGTATAATTTCAGATCAATCCAAACCCACAGCTATTCTTTTAAGGGACATTTAATGGCTGGAGCAAGTAAATTGTATGGCGCTGGTCAGCTTTAACTTGTCTTGTCTTTACACTCAATGTATTTCCCAATTATCCTTCCCTCATAGCTCTACGCATGCCAACTCCAAAGTAGTAAGTGCTCTGAAAGGGCAGGGCTCTGAGCCAGCAGAGTAAATGATTCTACTGAGGCGGCCGTGAAAGCTTCCTGTGTGAGCAAGGCCTTGGAGGATCTGGAAAAGGAATTCCTGATGGAGGGTATCAGGGAAAATAAATAAATAAATAAATAACTACTCTGCATGGTGTCATCAAGAAAGTGCCACAGCAAACTGCCACCAGGCCCCAGAACTCTTGGTGGGGCAATAAGACAGGGAACTGGCCTAGATTCTTAAGTACATTCTTAGAAATTTGCATGTTAATCTATTTAAAAAAAAATATGAGGGCTGAACAGTGACAAATGTCTTCTCATAAAAACCTTGACTTGGTAGTGGGAAATGGAGAAACATAGATAGACAACAAAAAACGACTTCCTATGCCTTTGTTTATACTGCATATCCCACCCCCTTCAACAAACTCTGGTTTATGGAATGCTTCACTACAGGGGAGGTCTGAAACGTTCGCTTAAAAAAACAGCAGAAAAGAAAAACAAAGAACTCTCAGCTTACGTGTTCTTCAGATGAGATCTCCACCATCCCCCCTTCCTCCCATGTTCAGACCCTGTTCTTTGGCCGGTTTTCCAGCTCCGGTTATTCCCATGTACAAAGGAATGCTCCGTGCTGTTATTTAACTGTCACAGCCCCGTCTCTCCTCTTGCTAATTATAGAATAATCAGTACACGACAAAAGGGACCACATCTATTCTTACAGCCAAGGTGCATGCACAGCTCGACCCAGAAAAATCTACCTGTCCTCAGCTCTGGGCTTCCCTAGTAGCCACAAGGGCTAAACAACACTGGTTTAAAGTCAAGGTGTTGAATATCAAATATCCAACTTATTAAAAACACTGGCTTACTCTGCACCTCTGTGTTTATCTCAGTCCGTTTCATTTACAGCAAACTGATCATGAATACTAGAATGACATGTTTCATGCACGGTCAGGCCCTGCTTTATTATGTTACCCAGCCATCTGTGACCCTTCATTAGAGAGGCAATTGGGAATCCAGTTTGGAAGCACTGCTGAATGACAATGGCCACGCTGAAACGGTACTGTGGCTTTAAGAGCCTTGCCGCTCTTAGACAGCTAGTCCATTTTCATTTAGCAGTAAACTAAAATGGCCAAGCACTAGTTCTACCCACAAGATAAACTCCATGGGCAATCATTGAGACAATTTAGTCACTATGCGGAGATTAAACAAAGGATGCTGTTGCTGTGATTGGCTGCACACACACACACACACACACACACACACACACACACATACATACACACACACACCCCACGTACGCAAACATGTGAATTAAGACCTTCCATCAGGACAGCATAACCTGAAACACTATGTGAATTCTGCCTTTGGTGAGACACCAACTAAAGGCACTTCTGTGTCTTTTTTTCAGGTTGCACACAGCACAAAATCGTGACAAGCACCGACTGGATTTTATTTCAGTGGAAGGGGCTCTGTTTTTTAATGGACTGGTTACCAAGGCGTCACAAGCAAGGGACTCACAGAGCTGTCCTGGTTCCTTTTAGGCCTTTCCTTTTTTAAAAGCATTTCTGTTACCCCAAGTATGCTCTGGCTGTCTGTTGCAGTTCCATCCCCATCATTGGGTGCCTCGGTCTTGCCTAATTGATATGTCATTCCGTTTATTTTCTGCTGGTGAGATCTGCAGCCTACATGATGGGAAACGCTCATTTGCTCCCAGGAACTTTGTTCAATTTTAGCACGGCTCAACAACTAAAAGCCCACCTGTCTGAGGGGCAGGTCAATAACAGAACTGCAGGAGTAACCCAATTCCTCCAGACTGCTCCTCCAGGCTGTTATTTTCCATGCACAATAGCCGTAAAAGCGAATACTTAGCAAGGTGGTCTGTCTCAGGAAAATCAAATCAAATAAGCCTTCCTTCCTGGTTCCACTCAGGAAGGTTTGAGAAGAGGGCTGTTGCTTTAATTAACTCCCTTCTTCCTTCCAGACGCCTGGGCATCAGGGCCCTGATTTCATGCAAGCTGGGAATCCTCACTTGGCCATGGGGAACCTGTGTCCACCGGTGCTGCGGACCCAGAAAGGGGACGCCTCCTACCAAACGCAACGGTTCCCATTTGAGGTTTGGGAGGAGGTAAGGAGACCAGAACGGAGACAGCTGGATGCCCAAGATTTTCATATCCTGCATATTCTCGGAGGTAACTCTCGCAATTGCGCGACAGGCATCCATAACCCATACTGGGTGACAGTCCCTCCCTCCCAGGGGCCGCGTGGAGCAGCCGGTGGTGATCCGGGGAGCAGGTGTCCCCGCGCACCGCCCTCGCTTACCCAAGGCCCAGGTGCAGCTCTCCTTGATGGCTTTGTATTTGCTCCCGGACGCGTCCCTCTGCAGCTTCCTCAAGATCTCTTCCATCTTGGCCTTCCCAGAGCCGGGCCACCCGACTGGGAGAGCGTGCGGAGGACGCGCCTAGGCGGCCGCTGCGCTCGTCCCCATCGCGCTCCGCGGCCACTGATGAATCACGCCCGTTCCACGCCGCGGGGCCACGTCAGCCCCGCCGCCACGCCCGTAGCCACGCCCGCCGGGTCAGGTGCGCTCCCGAGCCCCGGGACGCTGGAGGCTGGGGCCTCCTATTTCGCGCCCAAGCGGACCTGGGGGACCCGGCTTCGTCCAAAGGTGGGGGTCAGCGGCTGGTTGCCGGCCGGGCTCCGCCCGAGGGCGCCTCTGATCCACTGAGAGTGAGAGCCGTGGGCAGAGGGCAGAGAGGGGCCTGGGTGTTGGTGCCCATCACCTGCCCGCCACGCCGATCCCGGCATCCCGAGACCCCGCTGCACCCGGGTGTCCTGGAACCAAAACAGTCATACATCCACTAAATAGTAAGCAGCTGGTCCCCTCCCCGTGTCAGGCTGAGGCCATCCAGCGGGGACTATGCCATATGTCTGCCTGCAGGGAGCTTACATGACAATGTATTAGACTCATACATTGCACGCTAATACGAGTCTCTAATAATTAGAGAATTGGATGTGAGAATTAAATCATAAAAGGTTTAGAAGAGGATTAAAATGAGTACACTTACGTCAGTACACGGAGATTTCTACCAAACCAGCCAAGGCAGAAACTGCAAACAAAAATCAATCGATTTAATTGACAACTTAAAACCTTTCGACAGCCCAGCAGTCAATCTGTGGGGCTGCCCTGGATGTTAGAAATGAGCAGCCCCATAGTTAGGCGAGGAAACCAGGCCTCAGCTACTTCCCAGGCAACAAGAGTTGTATTGCACACACCCGGAATCCAAAGATTTTTTTTTAAAAAAAAAAAAAAAAAAAACCTTCACCAGCAGGTGAGTATAGAAAAATTAGAAGTTCAAGGTCATTCTCGGCTAGTCTGAGACCAGCTTTAGGTACATGAGACTGTTAAAAATAAATACTAAATAAATAAAATAAAAATCTCTCGTATTGGCTGAGTTGTTTCCCTCTGAAGCAAGGGGCACACCGGCCAGTGGCAGCTGAGGCCTGTTGGGTTTTGGTAGGCAGGGAAAGCCTGCCCCCTCGGGAGCCACGGGAGCTAAGGCCGAAGGAAGCCAGTGACTCTGTCTGCTCTTTGAGTGACTTCAGGTGTTCCCCTGGTGGTAGGAGGGCCCTCTACTGGCTGTTCGGGGAAAGGAGGCCTGAAGGAAGGCAATGACGTTGCCTTGAGAGCTGTGGTTGGAAGTGAGGAAGAGGTTAGAGGCGAATTCAGTTTTTATTAGAAATGTATTTGTAGTGAGAGGGATGCCGTCTGCAGCGAGGGTGCTGGCTGGGGGGAATGTGGGCAGGTTTCACAGCAATCTAGAATCAGTTGGGCTTTGAGTGGGGGTGGGAAGGGAGATGTTTGAGACAAAGCAAAACGATTTGATGGCTGAATAGAAAAGGAACGGCATGCCTTAAGGGAGGGCATTGAGATTTCCTCTGGAAATGAGAAGACAATGACCCCATCTTGTAAGGTAGAGATGTCAGTGGAGGAGGGGCTTGGAAGGGGGAATAGACAAGCTCCGATTTAACACGGTCTGATTGAAAAGACGATGACACGTCTGTGGAGTATTTTACCTAAGGCAGGAACTCCGATTAGAATTCTGGGGTGGAAGGGATGATTTCATAGCGAGTGCTTGCTGTCAGAGGCCAGAGAGGGAGCTGCAGGACCGAAGAAAGGGGCAGAGGAGCATGAGGAGGAGGAGAAGGATGAAGGAAGAAGGTGAGAGATTCCAGGAGTGAAAGGCAGCCAGGAAGGAAGTGTCATGGGAAAGTGTCCAAAGAGGCGGGATTGTTGACTGCTCCTTGGTTCCTTCAAAGTGCCAGGTCCCAAGGGCCCTTCTGCCTGCCACCAACACACCCATGGAGCCATCTTTTGAAGAAAGGCTTCTAGTGCTAAAAAGTGCTAAAAAAAGACAACAACAAAACCTCATATTCAACCATGCTGTTAACTATTTGTAATATTGTCATCAGAACTATACCATGCATCAATATGAATTATCGATACTTTTTAAAAGTTGGACGTAAGAATGGAGCCATAAAAGGTTTTAAAAAAAAAGTGAATGCACTTTTTTTAAATGAATGCACGTCCTAATACACTGAAATTTCTACAAAACCAGTTATGGCAGAAATGGGGAAATTTCAAAATTTGACAATTTAATACCTTTAAGTTTTAAAAGTCCATTCTAAAAGTTCCATTCACAAATTGAAGTGTAGATGTAGTGGCTTGGATGAGAAATGTCCTCTACAGGCTCCTGTATCTGAACACTTGGCCCCGAGTTGGTAGTAGGAGGGGTTATGGAACTGTGAGAGGAGGCGGCTTGCTGGGGGAAGCACCCAGGGGTGTGGGGCTTTGTGTAGCCTGGCCCATGTGCTGGTCTCTTTCTGTGTTTCCCCGTGTGCGCACAGAATGTGATTTGCCAGCTTCCTGCTCCTGCCTTCCACGCCTTCACTGCCTGTTGCTGTCTCTTCCCTGCCAAGATGGACTCTAGTCCTCTGGAAATGGTGGCCAGTGGAAACGCTTCCTTCCCAGAGTTACTTTTGGCTGTGGAATTTTATCTCAGCAACAGAGATCTCACTAATACAGCAGCAAGTTACCCTCAGCTGGATTAAAGAAAGAAAGAGACGTCTCGCTTTTAATTTTACGCAGATTTCTATTTTGAGCCTATTTTAAAGCTTTACTAGTTTTATAATTAAAAACAGAGTACTTAAGCTACAGCCCAGGAAAGTGATTCTGATAACGTCAGAGGTATAAACTTGAAAAGTATCATTAAAAGGCCTTATCAAACTGTTAAAAGGTGTGGGGGGGATATATTCCCCCAAAGCAAAACAGGCAGTTAATATGAATTTTGCTTACAAAATAAACAAAGTGATGCATAAATTCACAAAAAAGTACAATAGCACAAACTTTTAAGTAAATGGCTAATTTTGATTAATCAAACGTTCCATTCACAAATTAACATGTAGATGTGGGGATTTGGTGAGAAATGTCCCCCACAGGCTCCTGTATTTGACCATTTGGTCCCCAGCTGGTGTACTGTCTGGGAAGGTTATGGCCAACCGTATTTCAAAATGCTATTGTGAGTGAGAAACTGGCAACAGAGTCTCCCAGTGTACTGGGGATGCTGGTGAACGTAACTTGGTCTTGCTTTGCTCAAGGGAATGGGGATGTGCATAACACATATGCTTCCAGACCAACAATCCCCTTCTGGGAATTCATCCAAAGGATGTGATAATGGAAAAACGAATATAAAAAATTTCTGACAAAGATTTCCTGTGTCTTTGAATTATAAATTAATTTAAGGCTATACACCCATCCAACAAAAGGGAGATGGAGAGATAATTCATATTGTATCCATAAAACAGCATATTCCATAATTTTGGAAAGGAATATTGGATGGCGTTAAAACAGGTTTCTCATTCATAAAGTACAATAAGTTAACCGCAAAATACTATGCAATTCTTTACACTATTTGACCTCAATATTTACACTTTAAATATTTAATAGAGAACCCATATAAAATTTAAAATATATACATATATTGCAGTGATAATCTTCAGTGTGGCTTATAGGTAAATTTACTTTTCATTGAACATATTTGCTTTTATAAAGGAAAAAGGGTACTTTTTAGAGGTGGTGTAATAATAGCAAAATAATAACATCAATAGCCACAGAGAGGATAAATGCTAACATTGGTCGAGGTTTAATAGTTAGGATCACAGAGAAGTCTGTCCCAGGAACAATGACTCAAGGACTGGTAGAATTATGTGTGTAAACAACCCAGTCACAATGGTGACTGTGAAGGAAAATACTTATTTTTATCTTGGATCCACAGCTCACAGTATAAAACTTACTTTGTATTGCTATCCAGTACACATAGGCACACATGGAGAAATAGGTTAAAAGTACAAAAACAAAATGGTTTGATTTTGGTTTTGAGTCAGGTTATAGCGTGCGCTAGGCTTGAACTTATGATCTTCTTGACTGAGCTTCAAAAGTGCTGGAATTACAGGTATGCATTACCACAGCCATGTAAAGTTTTATTTATGAACAATATTAACTTTTGACTATGGTAGAGTTGTGATTAAATATGATTTTACTCATTGCAGTGGGCACATGGGCCTGTTCCTGAATGTCTTCCAGGCTGGGAGCATAAAGACACTGTTGTATGCACAACCATGGTGGCTCAACTTTAAACTCTTTTATCCCATTTTTTAAGCTTTGCTTCTTTACAGCTGTAGTTCATACAAATATTGCTATCAAGAGAATCCACTGAAGCTTAAACTATTACAGTAGAAATTCTTCTTTTAATCTCAATCTAAACCTGGGCATGGTGATGCTCACATGCTATCCCGAGACTTGGTAGGCAGAGCCAGAAGGATCATAAGTTCAAAGCCAACCTGGGCTGCATAGTGAGATATTGTCTCAGAAAAACAAAAACAAAATATATATGTTTTAGAAATGATTAAAATTTGAAGTTGAGACTTATAATTAATATGATTTTATTTGCTCAAAATTTTTTCACTAATAATGTTCTCTTCAAATGATTTAAAATGTTGAGGATACTGTGGTGATTATTTAAAAGGTATTTTCTAACTGTTGTGTATATTTAATATCTTGAAATATGTGTTACTCTTCTCCTGTGACTACAAATTCATTTAATTAAAAACACCAACATTTCTTAAAACTCAGAATGAGTTCTAAATGCCAAGCTTTTAGTGAAATACTTACAAAATATGAGCCAAAAAAGATTGCCTCTCAAAATACAGAAGTATGGATCCCTTCATATAACTTAACACATACTTGCCTTGTAGCAACTAATCCCTTCACTTTCTATATTACATTCATATGTTAATTATATGGAAATGATTAAATGCTTTAACAGATACAAAACCACAGAGGTTTGCTTTTATTTCTTGGTTAAATTACATCCTTGGTCAGTGATGCAGGCTAATGTAACTGTTGCTCATCCCAGGATCATGCACTTCACATGTACTGCTCCACCGTTCCATATGAAATTGTTTTCATTGGTGTGATCCAGAGATAGGGTCTAGGCACATTGTGTCTGTCCCAGGCCATAGATGAGGAAGACAGCATGGAGGAGTCAAGGCCTTAGAGGCATGAACTGCAGTGTGGAGGCCCACAAAGGTTTCCTAGTGAGATCTGAGCTTGCTTTACCCAGCAGGGCTGCATTAGAGGATTGCTTGACCATGTGCATGGTTACTAGGTGATTGCAAGGGTCTACACTTGGCTGTGCTAGGGGGAGGTCTTTGCTCTACCCCTTGGCATTCCTATAAATAGCCCTTTAGAGGAGACAGAAGCGGGCAGACGATAATGATCTAAGCCCTCTCGAGGCTATTCTGTGTTTCTGTTTCTCTCCCCTCTAACCTTCTATATAATATCTCTTATCCTTCTCTCCTCAAAAGTATCTTGTCGTAAAATGTGGGAGCTGATCTCCCAGCTAGGCTCCCACACTGCAGGAATCTCTTTTCCCCACAGCAGTTGGAGAAGACAGAGTTAGAGGTACATACCCACTGACATGGTCAGTCTATTGGAGCCTTGTAGGGCCCGGCCACACTTCTGTTGCTGTGGTAGAGGGAAAGGCTGGCTGGTGACCACAGCTCTAATTTCCGAACAAGACAAAAGAAGAGGTATCCTTAAAGAAACCAAATACTATCATCACTCTTATTTTCAAGTTCAAGAGACTGGGTAAAATTCTTAGACTGTCAAAGCCTTTAGAACACACGAAACATGGA